AAAAAAAAAAAAAAAAGATCGAAATCATGTATTAACAAAGTGAAAATATTATACGATAAGAAATTGAGAATACATTGGTACGAATAGAAATAGGATTAAATATCTTTTGCGTGTAACATTCATCTTTCTCTGGATTATATTTTATATTACTTAACAAGACGGTTCGTCATGTCACACTATATTTCAGATATTCCTTCGGGAATTTATGGTTAAGTGAAAATGTCGAGAATGATCGACGAAGAGGTAAATTAACTTCCCCCCATTAACGTAATTCAAAATGGAATTAATATTAACCGGGTGGCAACGAGTACGTAGCGAGCGGTATTTTCCGGATGATTAAGAATAATATGCAAGGAATCTAATTGCAACGCGCGAACATCAAGCCACGCGGTCTACGTGCTGGTAATGACGTGGATCGTAAGGGTCTTTGAACTCGTTAAACGCGACTGTGCTCGTAAATTGTTATTCACACCCCTCGGTTCGTATCGATGGTTTGAATGTGTCATAATTACGATTCGTACGAGCTCCATTAGCCGTGTATTATTTTTGCGCGGCGAAACGATGGATGGAATTGCCATGGTGTCGATGCTAACAACGGTCACACTTTTACATTGTAATTTAACGATTTAAATATATATGAGAATCCGTGTGCCGGGAGCTACGAATCCCGAATTAAAATTTACCGTCCATTTTGAGCCATGCCGTTATAAATTTGAGCTTGATCCGCTCTTAAACTGTCGAATCGTTTGATGAATCGCGCTGCGAATCCAGTCGTTTCGTTTAAATATCGTTCGAATAAAGACTATTTCTTGCTTTTCCCTCCCTCCCTCCTCCCTCCCATTATTTTTTCTCGTCTCTTTTTTTTTTTTATATTACTTACGCGTATCGTTGTTCGAACGTCAATTGATTCTCGATTCTTAAACAACGCGATTGAAAATAAGTATCATTCGATTCTTTATTTTCAAATAACCGGAATTTTTTATTGTTTATAATATTTGTGCACGTTTCATAATTTTGATTAAAATGTTCTCCCTTTCTTTATGACTTGCCTATCAAAATTTTCTACGATAAATTCAAGTTTCGTTATATCAATGGAAGTATATATTTGATCAGTTAATTTATTGTAAATGGGTGGCATGTAAGCTTGTAAAACGATGTATCAACGTCGATCCGTTGGAAGAATCCACGACGATAACTCAACTTAACCTTAACGGCCGCTCTCGTGAAGTGGCATCGTTCTTCTTGTCTCTTCGACGTTCGTTTACGACCTCATCGCCATTTTATTCGTGGGAAAACACTCGGGACCGATAAAAAAAAGTTGCAATAAATCGATGATCACTAATTTTCTTAGGCGATATATTGTCCGTTCTATGCCGAATAAAAGAAATTTCTACGACCACGGTGTTCCATTATGAATCCTCGTTTTTTATCCTATTCGCGCAATTACAGTTTTCATCGTTTCTCTTAACGACATTTTTCATCGCCTCTTATAATTCTTTGTTTTATTCCAACTTTAGATTATTCTTTGCATTTCATTATTATTTATCATCGATTAAAAAATTAAATGACAAAATGAGACAATTATATTTTTTTTTCAAAATTTATAAAGATTTATATTCATACGGGAAAATTTTAATGTTCAACAAATAATATTTTATTTCTATTATCTAAATTTTAATTTTAAAATCGTCACCGATATTACATCGTCACCAAGTAAGAGAATATTCTGTGCACACCAGGATATTTAACCTGTAAACAATGTCCAAATCCGACGTATCGAACTATATGAGGATATCGCGACAGGAAGTGATATCACGTCGACGTCAAACAATCAGTTGGTCCCGTGTGTACGAGGTCGAAGGATCGGATATCTTCAGCCGTTCGGTGTCTCCGAATCTTTATCCTATGGATCATTCTCGATCCTGTGGTTTTAGTACGCTATAAAAGTTCCAACCCTGTGACATGCTTTATATCAGCGTCACAATCGTATTTCAAACACAAGGATAGGGTTACCATTCCCATTCCCTGTCCAACGATACCTACTTCTTAGTTTCTATTCGTTTTTTCTTACGATTTGCGCGGATACATATAGGACACAATCACTTGTAAAATATATTAATGTTGCAATATAAAATTGGTCTCATAAAAACGATATACGACGAATTTTTTGACGCGAAACGTTATTTTTACTTATCGAAAATATGTACTTGTTTAATTGTATCATTCGTCAATACGAAATGATAGATTTGTATAAAACTAATGGTTTTCGAACAAGAGACAAGAGAATGAATATATAACGAAACGTTTAATAAATGATATGGTTATGAATTTTTAAGTTGTACAGCAGAGTGTACTCTCTCTTACAGCGTAATAGAGATTCAATAAAGAGAAAAACGATCTTTGGGATATTCATGAAAAATTCATGAATACTTCCTTTATTCTGACAAAGATGAGTACGTACCTCTATGTATCCATATTTGGGATCCTTGGAATCTTGTCTATATCTTAATTGAATAGAACAATCAAACACTGCATCCAATTTTGGCACACTTTTCTTAATAAGAACTTTTTAAAACGTGAAGTTTGAGTTGAAAGAGGTTATTAACGTACAAAAGACACTTTGATAAAAACTTCTTTGATTGAATTATAACCACATTATATTATCTATCCGATTTTAAAACCGTAATTCGTTATTTTATACAATTCTATCGCGACCATACGTCGATATAAAAAGCAATTCATTGTCGAACGAAATTTAACACTAAATATGGCGTCTTTTTCTGTGCATTTGGCGCGATTTATGTGCAAGATGTATGCGCGATTCGATGCGCAAGGTATATGCGCAATTTGATGCGCAAGATATATTACGCATCTCTTTACCAGCTAATTCTGTATTCTTTTTTTCGATATAGTATATGTAGAATCAAATAACAATGTTCATTTGTGATTCATAATTTCAGAAAATTTCATAATTTCTAAAAAGTGAATAATGGAAAATGATTATTCTTGAAAAAAAGAGACGTATAAAAAAAGGATGTTTTAATAATATTTCTCTTAAATAATAATTACATCGTATTATCCGATTTATAATCAAGATGTGATCGTAGGTCATTATTTTGTGCAGTTTTTTTTAGCAACTATCGTGAATATAACTGTTTAAAATAATTTATTGTCTTGATGCTCTTTTCTATGCATTTCACGCGATTTATATGCAAGATATATGCACGATTTGATGTGCAAAATGTATGTGCGATTGATGCGCAAGACGTATGCGCAATTCGATGCGCGAGATGTATTGCGCATTCCTTGTTCAGCCATGTTGGAATTCTTTTCGTTCGGTTCAGTTCGGCATCTGTAGAATCGAAGGAGAACAATAACATTTATTTGATTTATAATTTTATAAAAGTTTCAAGAAGTAAGCAGTGAAAAATGGATATTTAAAAAAAAAATACATGTAAAAACAAGGTCGCTTTAATAAAATCTTTCTTGATCGCGTTATAATCATATCGTGTTATCTACTCGATTTATAATTAAAACGTAACCGTATCTTATTATTTTATACAATTTTATTAATAGTTATCGCGAATGTGTTAATTGCAAATATTTTTAGTAATTTATTGTCGTGAATACTTTTGGTATTCTTTTCTACGCAATTCGCGCGTTTTATGCGCAAGATATATGCGCAATTCGATGCGCGAGACGTATTGCGCATTCCTTTGTCAGCCATGTTGGAATTTTACGTTCTTTTCGTCCATTTCGGTTCGGTACATTTAGAATCAAATAACGACATTTGTTTGTGATTCATAATTTCAGAGAAGTTCATAACTTTCAAAAAGTGAGCAGTGAAAAGTGATAAACGTCAAGATCTAAACTTGAAACTCGTTTATAGACTCCAATGAGAGTTCCCGCGTAAATAATAACGTGAACCACGTTAACTGCGTAGTTAACAGTGTCGTATTTTCGGTCACAAATTTCGAGAACGAATGTGTATATTTTATCTTTATTTTGGAAATGCTGACGATTTTAAACGGTACACTAATTTAGTACATAATGATGTCATTGATGGTAATAATCCAATATTCATGTTGATATTAATTTTCTGCTTTATTTTCAGGATATAGGTTAAATACACTTAATATCATTACACGCGTGAACTACTGGCACAGCATGTTTGCAAAGAAGAATCTTCATCGTGTAAATATTTATCGAATCGTGATGATTTGACATCTCATCGAATGCGGTAAGTTTGTAATTTCTGTGAATGCATGAATATTTATTGAAAACATTTAATTAATGACACGATTGAGTAACTCGATTGATTTCAATATTTTCGTTAACGAAAATAGCTTATTATTCATATTTTCGTATATTATTATACATGGTTAATCCTATAATACGGGATTTAGTTTCGAGGAAAATGTATTTTTAAAATTTTTGTTTCAATTTTATTCAATACTGTAAAATGGAAACATTACAGTATTATTACGTCAGTATTATTAAAATTTATATTGACTGTGTTATATTGACCGTAAGAGCATTGTTACAATTTATGAACTATGTTTTATTAAAATGATATTATGTAAATACCGTATTATATTAGGATTACCTCTATTATATGGTACATTAAAATTTCAATCCATTGAGCTTTTTCGGAAGCTTCTATTGTGATTTATAAAATTTAACATAAATTTAGTCGTCGAAATATCGAATTTTCGCAAGATTATCGATCCAATTCATTTCTTTGATCGTTCGAAAGGTTAATTTCGTCATTGGAAAGTGACAGTAAATCTTATAACCGATGATCATGTATACGTCGGCATAAAGTTCAAGGCAAAGGAAAGCAAGTTTCCTTTTTCCAGATCTGTGGAAAACGATTGTAGGAACGTAGTCGCACGTGCTAGAAATGTCGACTTTCTCAGCTGTTCGCTGTGCCGGGATAAAGAGAAACTATTAGCTCGCCCGTGGCGTCGCGACGACCTGGATTAATTTAGAAATTTAATTAACAAAACCGTAAGCGCTCTTTCCCTCAGTCCCGCACCCCATTCTTCCTGTTGCCATTTTGCTCTCACGATTTTTACACTTTCATTCGACGGAATTAAAAATAAGATGTTCTCGTCCGGTTTTTATCGTAATTAAACATATCTCGTGTATTTCGCTCGAACGCCACGAAAACGCGTTCTATCGTCGTGAACATCGTCCGATACGAAAAATCCTTTTCGATACGATATAAAATCAGCCTCGCCTGAGACATAAATTTGGTCAACCGAACACAGGTGATCGCTAACTTATTTTACGATTGCCATAATAAAAGTGTCGACGAGACGTCTGGACACGGTAGGCGTCTCGAACATTTCTTGTTTTTCTTTTTTATTTATCTACCGTTCGAATCGATGCTCCGGGGAAAAATCATGTCTGCGCTACGGACGGCACAATAGAAACAGAATATTTAGATTAAAACGAAAACTCGTTACGTAACTATACAAACGGGCTCGTGCGGTAAATCACGTCCACTCGATTCTCTTTATCCTGCTGCCATCCTTCATGCCTGCTCGCTGGAAAATCGAACCGAATAAAAAACTCGGCGCCCTCCTTGATTCTCCCGATCTCTCAGTGGATGCGTTGATTTATCGCGGCAATCTTCGGAAAGCAAACACGAGGATCGCGAGCAATGCTCGCAAATGAGTAAAACGTTTCGCGGCCGCGAGATCTGTAACGAAGAATAATTGAAATGGCGTGAGAGCCTAGGGTATGGACTATAGATAGGTATACGCGTCTCTCCTCGATACTCCTATACACGCGACGCCGGGGAATCTCTCGACGTATATATCTGGCGGGGTTACGCTCTTCCTAACGATTTTTCGATATCGGTAAGCGATGCGTTTTTATCCGTACCGCGATGGAAACGTTCGAACGTTGCAGACAATCTGCCGGATAACGCTTAACTGTCCCCCACGTAGCTAGAATAATCGGCCGATTTTTATGTCCTGTTCGTCGTGGCGCTGCGTTCCGGAATTTATGAAAACGTTTATGAAGTAGTAGGGTTGGTTGAGAGAGAGAGAGAGAAAAAAGGGAAAAGGATATTCACGACGAGAATGCGACGTTATGTTCTAATCCTTCCAAATGGGAGGATCCCGCGACTGACAGAGGTTGCTTTATTTCGCGTACGAATTGTTTCTCTACTTTTCGATTATCTTCGTGTTTTATTTTTCGTCACGATTTTCCTCGTGATATATTTTTTTATTATTCGAATAATTAATTGCGTAATTTTTCCTGAGACATCCCTCTCAAATTGTTCGCTTTTACGCTTCACGAATAATTTCTCTTCATAAAATTCAAGACAACCGATTGAAATTCACCTGTGAACCAATTCACAGTGAATCAATCGCGGACTTCACGGCTCTCCTCGCTCAAGGGTGAACGGTCGGTTATTCACAGCGATTCACAGCCAAGCGCGTAACACGTTCGCGCGTTGATCCCCCTTTGATGCGCTTGAATCGATCAACGTTGCGTACGTGAACCGCGTGCAGGTAAAACGCGGCGTGTAACGTTGGACGAAAATTCCATAACGGAACGCGAATAATCGTGCGCAAAGGAACACGAATAATTTTATATCCGGCCAGTTTCGTGTCGGGCTATGGATATCGACGGTAAAACCGTAATATACAGCCGGATGATATTTTATTTCATCGAAAATTACGTTGAACGTAATTCTCAGCGTGTCGGACGTTAATAATTATAAAAAAAATCTCCCTCTCCCTCTTTCTCTCTTTCTCTCTCTCTCTCTCTCTCTCTGGTGAAGAGAAATGTGCTGCGGCGAGCTCGGTGTCAGCTTCATTACGGCGGAGTGCTCGTCGGAAGGATTTAAATCCGGGGTCGCCTTAAATCGGGAAGGATTCTGGACAAATCAGATCGTCGTTCACGTCGTTGTCGTCTTCGTCGTCCGTCGTCCTAGTAGTCCTCGTCATCCGTCTCTCGTTCCTTCCCTTCCGTTTACGCGTCGACGAAGAGGAGGCTTGACATTAATAGTCTCGCGGCGGATAAGCCGTTTTTGAAATGACGTTCGAAGGGAATAATACATGGAGGGTCACTTCTCGGCCTCGTCTCTCCACCCCAACGGAACGGACGTCCCTTTTCAAATAACGCATTCGAAGTCCTTTGCTTTTCGGCAAAGTGGAGGACCCTTCACAGGGACTTCCACCCTTACGCCGACCGTCTCACACTCCGCTGTATATCTATTGGCTTGTGCGCGTGTAGATGTGGCTAGCCGTGACGTACAGGGTGTTCTGGAAATAAGAAATAGTTCGAATGATTAATAACGATGATATCGTTTATGGCTTTTTCCATGAAATAGAAGAAATTGACCTACTGGAACTTATCGTATGAATATTCATAAGTAATTCTTTTTTTTTACATTATTTCGTTTCGAATATTCCGAGCATAGTCTATTTTTTTTTTTAATTTATTTCCACAATGCACGATTAAATTTCCCTAATGATTGAATATCGATCACTCGATTCTGCCCTCTTACAATTAGCGTAAAATGATTGAATGTTTAAATTAATTTTTTTTTTTTTATATTATCCATTAAGCTTTGATGCAGTAACGAAATTAGTTAATTATCGAGAGTAATCACGTGTGCGCGCGGAGAATATTCGCGAAGAATAATTGAAATAGAATTTCGTTCGAACAATGAAAGCGTCGGTTCATTTCGCAACTATTTTAAAAATTTCAGCCAACATTATAATAGAGTTATAAAGAGGAACGACATTAAATCCATCTTTGACGCTTTTAAAAAAGCTTTCGTCGGACGCCTGCGAAAAAACACGCCTGTCGATCAATATTTTAATTATAATTTCGGCTTCAAAGGATGTATTAATTGAATTTTATCAGTGGAATTACTTCGTGTGTAAATAATTTCTTACAGGCGCGTACGTTCTCTCGTAATAACAGCGATTAATTTGCCCCTTTTAGCTGGAAATCGCGTTGTTGGAACACCTTGTACATAAATATTGAGGCACACGCGTGTCCGTTTCTCTCTTTTTCGATCGTCACACTCGCCCAGACAACCCTTCTCTTGCACCACTTCCCTGTCACTCTCGTTCTCGTTTCCCCACTTCTAAACTCTGTCTTCGTTAATTGCCTCAATTAAATCTTTGTTACGAGCGATTTGAGCCCGGCGATTTTGGAAGGAGGGAACGGATACATGGGTTGTGTAACGGTATGTGCACTCTTTTTCAAGGAATTTCGTAATTTCAATCATTTAATACCATTTAGATCACTCTACAGAGTAATTTATTTTTCTTCTATGATAAGAACCTCTTAGCAATAGAAGTTTAAATAAAAAAAAAAACGAAATAGAATTTATTCCAATTATAAATTCACTTACCCGAACAAGAAAACGAATAGTGAGATAACGAATGAATCTATCCGTTAAATTGACTCTCTATCGAACTTATATAAATGAAATACCGTGGGAAAAATAATTGATTAATTACCAACCAGGATAATATCGTTCGTATTTCATATTTCACGATACTTGGGAAGGAGGGGGGATTTTAATTGGAAAGTAAGTTCATCGAATCGAGATACTTCGACAAAGGAATTCCTCGCAATATATCATCGAATAAAACGAAACGAAACGAAACGAAACGAAGTCGTAGAATTTCCGTCTATCGCGTTACGAGGTAACAAAATAAATTCTGGGCCCGCCGTGAAAGTTCCGCGCGGAAACAGATTTAAACAAAAGCCCAGACGAGTTTCGCTCATTTCCATGAAACGAAATTTATGCCGTGGCAGGAAATGGCGTTCGTTTCCACGTCGATCTATCTTTCGCCGCGCCGGGGCGAGGCGTGGCACGATGCCCGACCGAGGTCGGCCGACTTTCATCGCTTTTCGATCAATCAATACCCTCCCGTTTACAAATAATGATGTT